GTGTGTGTGTGTGTGTGTGTGTGTGTGTGTGTGTGTGTGTGTGTGTGAGGCTTTTAACAGTGAATGTGTCTGCTGGGATTGTTGGCTTCAGGCGTGTTAGAGCTGATTCTCTTATTATGCTGTGGAGGCTATTTGTCACCGCAACATTGGATTCATAATAAGTGCGATTGTGTGAACACCTTTTGTGCTTCTTTAAATGATGTGCTTTAATGTTTGTATGTGTATTTTGTGCTTGTGTGTGTATATTTGTTTATTAAACCCTGGAGTGAGTGAAGTATTGAAAGTGTGGCGCAAAGTGCTGGGCTGTAAATAAACATAAGTGGCGCTGTACGTCCGAGCAGGAAACCCATTCTCAAATATTGCAACTGGCTCTGCAGAGACAGTCGGGCTGAGCTCTCAGTTTCCAGCCAGTCTGAGTGATTTGTGTCTGTCCCGGCGAGACGTTGATGGTTATCAGTAAAAAAACATTTCACGTTTATCTGTTATCGCTGCTCTCCTTGCTTTCGTTTCCCTTCATTTAATTTCCTTCACTTTACGTTGTTCCTCTGTGCTGCTTTTTTGTCTTTCACATATTTTGCTTTCCTTATCTTTACTTTGTTTACTTCCACTTTTTGCTTTCCTCTTCATTTATTTTCTCCTCCTTTCTTTTCTATTGTTTTTCATCTTTTCCTTCTCTTTCCTTTTTGTTTTCCATGCCTCTGTGTATTTTATCTCCGTCCTATGTCTTCTTCTTTCCTTTCGTTCTCTGTCTGCTCATTTCGTTCTCTTTCCTCTCCTCTTACAGAGTTGGGACAGGAGTCTGTGCCGTTGTCCACCCGCAATGCCACAGTAGTGGTATCGGCAGCAGGTGTGATGCCATACCTCAAGGGTCGAGGTGGAGCGGGAGAACAAAACAGCACCCATTCTTTCTCCACAAACCCTTCTGCTTCCTCCTCCGCCTCCTTTGACAGGCAGCCAGCTCCTCCTGGGACCATGATGAGCTCCCATCCACAGGGACAGAGCTACTCCTTGGGTATAAGTAACTCAGGCCACGGGCCGCCTCCACCTAAACCCCCTGGAGGAGTTTATACGTCAGTAGGCCAGCACAACAGCCTCGATGGCTGCCCCCTGGCTAGCATGGTGAGCACAAATCCACACACACACGCATGCTCACACACACATACGCATGCTCTCACACACATACACAGCAAATACACACCACTGAGTAATGTAGCCCTACTGCTCCTCTTATTCTGCATCTCACCTTATTCTTTATCAATTCTGAATTTCTCCATGAGTCGTTATCTGCTGTAGCTGTCTGATGTGTGCTGAAAAACATCTGGAGTTTATACCCTGGCTCTGTAAATGGGAAACAAACAAAGTGATTGGACCGAGCCATGCAAAACAATTCCAGCCAATCGGCAGCAAGGGGTATTTATGCTCCTGCAGGACAGGGGCAAGGCCATGGATGTATACAGAAAAAAGGCAGTGGGAGTGAGAGGGACAATACATCTGGAGGGGGATAGTTGTTTGGGTATCAACAATCTTGCAAATCCACCTTAAACGTCTGTTTAGCTACAGCTGAAAAAAAAATCTGTCAACGAGCTAGACGACAATTTAGACGACTGTAGTGTGTGGTTTCATGAGACAGTTGAAAATGCCGTCTCCTGCTGACGTCAATGTTTTCAGCTGACCCGTTTTAAAACGAGAGTCTTGTAAAAGGCTTGAATAGGCTTGTGATGGGCGGCTAACTAAAATACATGATATTGTGCTCAAAGAGTGAGGCTAAAGCTACATGCAAAAAGTTAGCATACTCAGCAGCTGGTGATTTATTTTTTTGTGTTTTGTTTGTTTTATGATTATTTAAAAAGCTTTAGTCCTAGTATTATACGCAAGTTATACTGTACATATATATTGATATTTTGTACTATCTTTTGCATATTATGTTCATATCAAATAGTATTTTTTCTAGTCTATATTATGTATTTCTATTTCCTCTTAATATTGTATGCACCAAACAAATTCCTTGTAAACCAAGACATTTGGGGCCATTTTACATACAACACAATTTAAAATATAATTAACAGATCCATCAATAATATAATAAATTGATTGTTGCGGTCCTTGGCTACTCTCTCTTTTTTTTACCATCTGTCTCATGTGGATGAATATTTATTCCGGATTTATCCTCATCAGGGCTTCAAAACATACATTGAGTGAGCATATGAAGAACAGCCTCAGTCCCTTAAGTGCTCTCTCTTTGGGAAATTCCCATAATGCACTTCTTTCTCACCCTGGTTTGCTAATACAGTATGAGGTCTCTGTCTGTCTACCTTCCTGCTCATATGTACCTTACTGCACACACTGAAAAACGGCATGCCTTTCTGCTCCTCTTCATGTCTTTGACTCGGCCTGTTGCAAAAATAATGCTGCTATGCTAACATCATCATCCGTAATAAGTCTGTGTACAAAGATAATCAAAGGGCTAAAGTTCTTAGGGGAACGGATTCCAGTCCCAGCGCTGTCTTCTCTAAAGTGTCTTTAATGGAGGGAAAGTGTAATTAAACAGAGAGTACAATCCTCCCAGGTTTCCACAGCCTCTTCAGCGCTTCATCAGAATCTTTACATTAAAATCCTTTCGTCACAGTATGTTGGTGAGGTTGAGATGAAATTTGCAGTTGCATAGCCTATGGTTTTGTGTTTTTAGCAACCCCAGCTGTAATCCAAATCCAAATTAAGAGTGAAGATAGAAGGGATGCAAAGTTGTGGATCAGAGGTTGAGAGTTCAGACGGACCAGTAATTCAATCTGTTGTGAAACTTACAGACTGAAGTAGGTTTTCTTTGACCTGCAAGACTTGTAAATGGCTGTAATAAAACCATTTCAATCTGTTTCTCTTGTGTTAGATAAGCGGTGGGCAGGGCTCTCTGTTGGGCGATCCTCCTAAAGAGGTCAGACTGCCCTCCAATCCTTATCTGAACCTGGCCAGTGTGATGCCGGGGGTGGTTCTGCAAGGTGAGCACACAAACACACAACAAATGAAGGCATACTCTTGTTATAATAATAATATAATAATAATATGTGCAATCAGCGGCATTAAGGTAGCTCGTTCACTGATTGGCTCCCAGGCGGGTATGTGTAGTGACTTTAGATACAGATGTTTGGGGTTTTATTGGAAACCGTGAGAATGAATAGAATGATGACCAGTTTTTAAAGCACTGTGTGATAAAGTGACTCCTTCTCTTCCGGTCTTCCTGAACCACACACTAACTCGGGATCCGCTACTGACTGAGCCCCTTTATCGTCATAAGTGACTATTATTTTCAGTTGTGCGACACCCAAAAGGCTAACTGCACTAGTCAGTAGTTGAGGTTTTTTCCACATACCTTGTAGAGCTATATCATGATCGAGTGGTCCAAAGTGGTTGAACTGATCAAGAGAATTCCACTATATCTATAACTATATAATTGGACTCCCAATCAACTGACTTGTCTTGTTTTAACTTGTGTCTTTGTTGCTCTGCAGCTCACCTCTGTAACACCTCTGTTGTATGTGTAATTGCTTCATTCAATTATTTATTTGTACTCTGTTTTCCAGTATGCATTCGTTTTGTCTATGTACTGTGAATATCCTTTAGAAAATAAAAAATTACAAATCAAGAAAAAGGTAGCTCTTTCAGTACTTTTGCCCATCTGGTAAAAGCTTATTATATATTGTATATAAGTTTGAAGATTCTTACTCGGTTCAAGTTGATTTTTTAAATTCATTTTATGTACAGGAAACACATTTGGTTGGTTTATGTACAAACTCTTTCACCTCTATTGATAAAATGGGAATATAAAAGACTGTCTGTAGGATTTAAAGATGTCTCTACAGAGTGTATTAGCTTCCTCTGTTATGCAAGCTTTAGAGGTGCAGATTGTTTAGCCCGTGGACATTCAGGCTAGCTGTTTCCCCCTGTTTCTAGTCCTTATGCTAAGCTAAGCTAATTGGCTGCTGGTCTCATATTTAACGTACTAATGCAGTGCTTCCGAGCCATACCAATGCCTCATCCCCAAGCAGAGCGAGGATTGTTTGGTGGACACAGGTCAACTTTGTAAAAGGGAGATGATGCTCCAGGAGTGGTTGACTGTTGTTAATATAAACGGACTACAGCTGCCGTCCTCCATGAAGGTGCAAGCTACAAAAGTCTCAGAGCCAAGTTTCAAGGGCACAAACCGATGGATTTCTGTTGGAGTAGTCCTTTGAGATAATCTGCAATGTTAATGCGTACGTTAGTGTGATTACCCACGACCCTTTCTAACTCACTGTGCCTCCTCCGCTGTTGCTCAGGGTCAGTGGGGAGTAAAGTCCAGGGAGGACAGCCTGGGATGTACGGCAGCTCGGTAGCTCCCGTCATTTCCCAGGGCTCCGGCTGCTTTTCCCACAGCGCGGCAGCTACAACCACAGCCCAATACGGCGCCGATACCGCCACTGACTACAGCCAATACAACCAGGCCTACACACAGGTACCATAGCTCATACAGACACACTCAACAGTGATCCATATGAAGAAATACGGTGATAGATGGATGGAAGTTCACAACTGTGTTTCTTGGCCTAAAATGTGAGAGAGAGAGGGATGATGGGCTGCATAGATGATCAGTGGATAGATGCATAATGAGGAGATGGATGAGAACAGAAGTGACAGAGTGAGCTGTAACTATGGGAGGCAGGGTGGTGGAAGAGATGAGAATTAGTATGTATATTTGGACAGACAGGATGAGAGAGAATTTGGCACACAGCACTGAGTCTTTCCATCTGTCCCTGTTCCCTTCGTCTCTCTTAACACTCCACTCTGAACAAGTCATAAAGCCGCCCTACTGGCTGTTTGTTTGCATCTCTTTCTTTCTTCCTCTGCTCTCGTCGTAGTTATTTCTCCCTCCAGCAGCAAGTGACACATCTGATATCTGCAGTGTGATGCAAACCCAATTTTAAATGTTCATTACAATCTACTCATCCAAACAAATGAATCATGATTAGACAACCAATAAAACGGTCGGTTTAATTTGTCTGGAAGGACGAGACAAAGGAGAGGAACAGAGCAGAGCCGTCGCCAGGGACAAAAGTTAATGCATGACAAAGGCAGGCAGAAATAAAAATCAGCAAAGACAAGAAAATGACTGAGCAAAACATTCATTTCTCTGCAGCTGATTTTTGCTGGGTTGTGTGTATCATAGGAGGCCATGCAGCAGTGGTACCAGCACTATCAAGCACAAGCTCACGCCTACGGCACCGCTGCTCCACAGGACAACACGGCCACAGACTACAGCAAGGAGCACACACAGGTAACACACGCGCACACACACACGCACACACTCAATTGTAACTGCAAAATTATGGCCACCATTTTTCGTATTTCATTTCTTTTCACCAAAAAGTAGCAGATTGGTTGAATTTTTTGTTGAGTTCAATGTTCCCATACATCACATTTAGGACACTGTTGTTCACTTCAGATCACAGAAAACCGGATCCTCTGATGGTGAAGGCAGCTCAGAATATCTTCTAACTTATAGGAAGTGAAGATATAAATAAGGAGAACACAAACGAAATTCCCCAAATTTTTGTTTCTATTTTTAACTTCAATTATGTGTAATAGATATCGACAAAATTCTTAGATCTTTACATGAAAGAAAAAATAACATTAAATACTTTATATATACTAAATATTACTTTAATAAATAATGGGCCCCACAGAACCTGTAAATTAACCTTTTGTTAACCTGTGTTTTAGGCTCCTCCAGTATCGACCTACGGGGATTACAGTTCCTACATGCAGGCGGTCACTCAGTACTACTCCCAGCCTGCAACAGCAAACCAGGCCTACGCCAGCAAGGTACACACACGCGCACACAAAAGCCTGATCTCAACCAAGCTATTAATTACAGCTTAGAAATGACAAATTATTTAATTCGAGAAACAATCGATGATAGCTAATCCATACGAAGCAGAAGCTCTTTAAAACAAGTAGAACAACATTGTGTCCTGCAGACACAGTGTAAATGATCTGAGATGCAGCCCTCAGAGCGGCACGCTGTTATTTCCGTGCAGTTCGTCTGTGACCTCTCTCTGAAGACACGGATACCCTGTTAGAGGGACCGCATCACTCTGCACCCAGCAGCTGATACCAGACATCTCCACACACCCTGAGCAGCCAGGTCCAGGTTTATCGCCTGCTGGTGTGTGTGTGTGTGTGTGTGTGTGTGGGTGTGTGGGTGTGTGGGAGGGAGTGAGGGAGGGAGGGAGGGAGGTTTGAAGATGCAGCCAGAGTTGCATTCTGGTCTACTGAGCTCACTGTTGGTGGAGAAACCGATATCTTGGAGAAAATGATACAAAGGGGTTCTGGTATTAAACTGAACTAAAAATATGTTGACATGACTTTGTAGCATTTAGTTTTGGCTGGTAGGCTACAGAAGACCATACAACAGCAGACAGGAGGCGAATAACTGAACCCGGCTGAGTGTCATCTGCCCACAGTTTGTCTCATAATACCCACTTGGGGCAGAGAGAATGAGTGAATAAATAATAGAACGTGAGTCAGTTAGTTTGTCAACAACATGTACCCTAAAATGTAAGGGATTTGGGGAATATTTCCCATATTGTGTTTTTCTTGACCTGCAGTCTTAAGACAGTCAACCAGCTGTCATTCAGAGTGTGTGTGTGTGTGTGTGTGTGTGTGTGTGTGTGTGTGTGTGTGTGTCTTTTAGGAGGTAGACGTGTGTAAGCCTCTAGGAGTCTCTCTGCACGCAGTCAGTAACGGCACCGCCCCTCCACCGGCCGTCCTGCCAGCTGCTGCCGTGCTCCCAGCCTACAGCACCCTGCCTTTAATGCCCGGTTTCCTCGGGGCGCCACACCCGGCGGCGGCACCGCCCGGCCCTGTCGCACACACACACACTGCCGCCACTGACTGGAACACCTACTACTATGTAAGTAGAGAATATGCACACTCTAATACAGGTTGTAACACTTTTATTACATCTGTGAGCAGCGGTGGAATGTAAGTAAGTTCATTTACTCAGGTATATATTGAGGTACTTTACCACACTTTATACCTCTACTCCACTACAATTTTAAGACAAATATTGAACTTTTTACTTCACTGCATTTATTTAAAAGCTTTAGTTACTAGCTACTTTGGAGATTTAGATAAAAATAGTATATATTATAGTCTGGTGTTTCCTGTTTCTTATTAGTATATTTGATCATATTTTAATGAGACGTCGTACTTTGTAAGTCGTAACTGTTTTCTTATATGCCTCCATTTTCATTTGCTGTTGATGCTGTTTACCCACTCGGGTGGGTGAGAGGTTATGAGTTGATGAACTGGATAAGAAACAAAAAACAACTTTTTGACACACAAACTTCTGTTTATTTGTCAAACTCTCCACTAACGTTTGCTTGTTTTGTTGTTAATTACTGGATAATGTGACCTATTCAGGTGTCTAATACGAATTAGAATCAGTTACTCGTTGGTTGAACTATTGGGGTGTCAACAGTTAACTCATAATGGGTTAACCACCAAGATGATATTTGACTGGTTACACATTTCGGTTTACAGGTCGATTTGTTTTGTATGTTAATTTAACATGGTCAATTGAGCTTTTCACTTCTGAAAGGACGCTTGCACACAGCGTGTGCTTGTCCAGCTGTGTCGCTGTCAGAGCGAATTACAGAGCAGACCAATGAGGACTGAAAACGTTTCGAAATGCGACGGCAAAGCTTATTGTGTCAATGAAAAGTGTGCTGGAGTAAAAGGAAAGCGCCTTTTTGAATTTGACATCATTTTGCACTTTTTTTCTGGTTAGCTACGGGTCAAATAAACATAAGGTTGAACTGCTCATAACCCTGCATGTACTCATTGTTTTGTTTTTAGACAATCCACAATGTTTGGGACCCGCTGCTGAAGACAATGGAGATAGTAGATCAGTGTCTTCTATTACATGTGTTGGATTTTTCCGAGGTGTGGCTGGCAATAGAGCCACAGTACAGCCTTAACTTTGTCCTCATAGTTTAAGGCTGTGAAAACTGTTATGAGAAGAAAAAGACGAAGAAGAAGAGGAGGAAAAGATTCAGAGGGAGAAAGAGAGCAGACAGGATCCAGACAGCTGAGCTAAGCCTCGCCTCTAAAAGATTTACATGTTGTTTGTACAGACAGCCTCTGTGGCCCTCGCTCACTGGAGAGAGCCTCATTTAGACACAGGATGTTTGCGCTAGTCCCATTTTTCCCATTTTTTCCCCCAATCTCTTCATTTAGTTTATCTTCAGTTTTTCAGAGGTTAATCGATGTCGTGATGAAAACATTGTAATTAAAATAAATGTTTTTTGCTCTCTATATTGAAACAGTTCAAAACATAAATATCGAAACATAAATATCATAATATATCATTCAAAATATCATTCCAGCATTACAATCTAAAAACACGACATCGGACATGAAAGTGTCGTAGCATGCTGTTTCTTCACCTCTGACTCATCCCTCTCTTCTCACTTCTGTCTCTTCAGAACCAGACGAGGGGCCATAAGAGGGAGTACCCTCAGCTGGCGGTGCAGGAAGTGACATCATCAGATGGCGCCTACATTGGGCAGCACTCCCAGGGCCTGGGAGGGCAGTACGCTGACTACTTTAAGAGAAAGAGGCTCTAGTATGAACCAAACCACCTTAAAGCCTGAAGCTTATGGAGGGAGGCACACACAGCGTCCGCTGGATGTCACAGCTCCCTCTAGTGGCCTTTCTGTGGCTGCCATTTTGCATCCCTACAGTAGGTATTGAGTTTAATAGAAGTTGGGGTTGCATATGGCTCAAATGAAAGCAAGCCATAGTGCTCTTTGATCCTGGCACTTATTTACACACACACACACATAGACACATAAACACAAACACAGTGTTGCTTTTGTTCAAGCCTTAACTCTTTAACTTAAACTGTTGTTTCTCAGTCAATGTTTCAACCGTAATCAAGTAATATTATCTTATACATTTTTTCTAATATAATGTAAACTAAATAATACTGTATCTGTACGTATAAGCTGCTTTTGTATCTGCAGCCAGGTGACCTGTCTTTCTGCCTGCTGAAGCTGTCGTTGGACTGGTCTTACAGTCAGGTGTCTTACTCTCTGTCTCCTTTTAAGCTCACTCTTTGATTAGTCAGTCGAACTGACATCTGTTTGTTCCCGCTTCAGTGTCTTTTCTCTTTTTCTGGTATCGCCCAGGTTTCTTTTATAGTGAAGTAGTGTGTGTGTGTGTTTGTATGTATGTATGTATGTATGTATGTGTGTGTGTGTTTATGCGTGCTGATATGTTGTCTCTGTAGGAAGTGTCAGCCATTTCAATCCCAAGGTTTGGGAGCACATCAGGTACAAAAAGGGCCTGAACCAATCAAAGCCCTTAATTGTGGTAACGTTACAATAGCTTCCCTCAATGAATGGACCCTTCTTTATAAAGACTGGATAGGAAATACAAGGCTGGTGTAAATACAGTGTGTAATACAGAATATATAAAGCCATGCGTAACAGACAATATCACATTTAATGGACCTTCCCCAGCTCTAATATCAGTGTATTGTACGACATGAAAACATTTATTGTGTGTCAGATTTTGTATCTGTTATTCTATACCGTTATATATTTGTAATATAATAATATTCCAAGGCAATTTATTAATATTGAATCAAATTGTGTTGACTTAAATGTAGTTAGGTGGTGTGGTTGTTAACGTTTAAGCCAAATATTAGGGCACAGTCCATTCTCTTCTCTACGCTCTTCTATCTGTTGTAACAGCTTTCCTTCCATTTCCAGCTACCATTAAAACAGAGATTTCAGACCGCAAGTTTGTCCCAAATTCATACCACATACTGACTCAAAGTAGGTTTTGAGTTTGTAGTTTGCACTTCAAAAGTGACAAAAGAAAATACACTCCAACTACTCACAAAAAAAACGCCTGAAATGGAGTCTTCCACAGCTGGAAACAACTGTAATTAATGGTGAAT